TTCTTTCTTTCTTTCTTTCTTTCTTTCTTTCTTTCTTTCTTTCTTTCTTTCTTTCTTTCTTTCTTTCCGTGTTTGTGTGTGTGTCTCTCGTTTGTTTTTTTTTCCCCCTGAAGCAGGCAAGCTCCAAGCCCTCCGTCCGTGTCAGTCGTCGCTGTCGGAAAGCGTCTCGTACTGGGCGGAGAGCAGAGGGGCAGGTTCCCGCTCCCATATCCGGCTGGGCTGGTGCGCGGCGGTGGTGGCGGCTTGGCCGGCGGATGGGGGGGTGCAGGCCATGGAGGTGGGGGGCGTGTTGCTCAGCATCCGGATGGTCAGCGGGTTGTAGGGGAACTGTGTGGAACCTGGAAGAGGAAAGGGGGGGGGGAGAAGAGCAAGGGGGAGGCGGATTAGAGGTTTGGCCTTCCTCGACTTACGACCGTTCGCTCAGGGATCTTTGGAGCGGCAGGGAGGGATGAGGTTTGGGGAATATTCAGCTGCAGGGAGAGCTGGACTTGCAATAACTCGTTTAGTGACTGCTTGACTAGGAGGGGATGATGGGCTTTGGGGTAATTCGGCCGCAGGGGGTGCTCGACTTACAATAATAACTCATTTAACGACCGTTTGAATAGGAGGGAATGATGAGACTTGGGGTAATTCGGCCACAGAGAGTGCTCGACTTACAATAACTCTTTTACTGGCTGTTTGAATAGAAGGTTCAATTAGAGGTCAGGTGATCCCCTTTTGCGACCGACTGACCAGCAAGGGGGAAGCCAGATTCACTTAACGACCATGTGGCCCATTTAACAAATGCAACGATTCACTTAACAACCGAGGCAAGAAAGATCGTAAAATGGGGCAAAACTAATTTAACCAATGTTTCCCTTAACAGTATAAATTTTGGGCTCAAAATTCAGCACTTTGGCAACTGTCTCATACTTATGACGGTCGCATAATCCCAGGGTCACACGATCCCCTTTTGCAATCTTCTGACAAGCGAAGTCAACGGAGGAGAGGGGGCGGAAGCCGTATTCACTTAACAACCATGTGGCTAACTTAACAGCCATGGTGATTCACTTAACAACGGTGGCAAGAAAGGTTGTACAATGGAGCAAAACTTGCTTTACAAATGTCTCACTTAGCAACCGAAATTTTGGGCTCCTTTGGGGTCGTAAGTCGGGGATTACCTGTGTTTAAGACTCAGGCAAATATATATATGTGTATATATTTATACACATATACATATACACATATATATATTTGCCTGAGTCTTAAACACAGGTAATCCCC